ATGGATGGATGGGTGGGTGGATGGGTGCATGGATGGATGGATGGGTGGGTGGATGGGTGGATGGGTGGGTGGATGGATGGGTGGATGGATGGATGGATGGGTGGGTGGATGGATGGATGGGTGGTGGATGGGTGGATGGGTGGATGGGTGGGTGTTTGGATGGATACATACTGTTGAGTTTGACTCCACCTTTGTGGTGTGGAGTAGAATGACATTGCCTCATCATATATGTAACCCTGATTCTTGTAACTGTTTTCATCTGTCTCCCTGGCCTGCACTCACTCTTTTCTTCATCAATCATAATGTCTTCCTCCAGCCGGTGAACTTTCCTGATGATGTCTCTGTCTCCATAGCAGACATGTTGGGAAATGTTCCTAAGGTTTTTATTAGGTCAGTTTTGGAAGAAGCTCACCACACCTTTCTTCCTAGTCTGTCTTTGTCTAGAAGGTCCACTGAAAGCTGTGATCAAGAAGAAGGAAATACAAGCAAGTCCAAACCCCGAGGCACTGGGTTTGCTATAAATTGCTGTTGTTCTTGTTAATCATTGAGTTGGAACCGACCCTCCGGCAGGTTTGCAGAGGCAGTAAATTGTACCAGAGAAGATTGCCCATCTTTCTCCCACAGAGCAGCTGGTGGATTTGAACAGTTTACCGCTGTGTTGACAGTGAAGTTCCTTACCACTAAGCCACCAGAGCTCCCTTACATAGAAATTGTTGTTGCTCTGTTGTCAACTCAGAACCGACCCAGAGCTGACCCTCCAGTGGTTTTCAGAGGTGGTTAATCACACAGAAGGAGACGGCCCATCCTTCTCCCGCAGAACAGCTGGTGGATTCGAACCTCATGGCTTACAAATAGAGAAATCTAATAAAAGCAGAGCCTTAATTCTGGTTTGTTTTTATAAACAAACCCAAAGAAACCCCTTTTTTCTTTTTTCTATTGTTGAACATTTTCTTTGAGCCTTAATTCTGGTTTAAAGTCCTGGCTTGGGTCTGGAATCTGTATTGGGGTTTTTCAAGCTGCCTTTCCAAACAGTCACTTTAAGCCTTGGTGCTGACTTCACCATAGACCTCAAGAACGACATTCCTTTTCTCTGAAGCCTGGCCTATGCAGGATATCTAATCTAATCCCAAAGGGTCTTTGTCCTTATAGACAAATAGATGCAAGATGAGTGTTGAGATACAGCTTTATCAAAACCTTTATGACTGCCCTTCGGAAGCAGACAGGACTGGAGAAGGAAAGCTTACCAGAAAAACTGGTCCTGGGCAAATGGCACATGCCTTAGACTAATCATGTAATTCCACTTCTAGGTTATACACCTGTAGCTACTGTACTCAGTTCTAGAATGCCCACCTTCAACTCCCCTGATGATCTTTCATCCAGTTTTTAACTGTTAGTTAATAATCAGTTATCTTTTACTTCCTGGTCTAGCCATATACGAATGGATCCTGCTTTGTCATCCAGCAAAGTGACCATTTTCATTCTGTGCCAGTGGACATATCTCCTGTCTGGACCGTCTTCATCAATAAACTACATCTGCTTGTATTTAAAAAGAAATAAAAGAATGGCTTTAGGGAACTCTGCTCGCCTAGCGGCAGGAAGCTGCCCTACAATCCCAAGAGGTACACGGTTGGAAGCCACCAGCTGCTCTGCTGGAGAAGGAGGGGCAATCTCCTCCTGTACCAGTCAGATCTGATTTGACAGTACACACACACACAAAAAGAATAAAAATTAAAAAAAAAGAATTACTTTATTTCCCCATTGTATTCTGGTACCAATTTGACCAAGGTGAGTTTCATCTCCCAGCTTGCAGCCCAGGAGGATGCCGGAGAAGAGGAAGTAGGAGGGAATCACACACTGTCCCCCAGGGGAGGTGAGCGAAGGGGAGCTGCCTGATCAGTTATTGTTGCTAGGTGACGCTGGGTGGGTTTCCAGGCTGAACAAGCTGTAAGCAGAAGGACACACGGTTCGGTCCTGCACCACTTCACGGTCACTGCTGTGTTCAAGTCAATTGTCACAGTCACTGTATCAGTCCCTCTCGTCGGGGGCTTCCTCTTTCACTGGACCTCTGCTTTCCAAGTACACTGCCCACTGGGCACTGCTTCCCACCAATAACACTTCCAAAGCACGTGAAGTCAAGTCCCACCATCTGTACCTTGAGGGAGCATCCTGAGGCCTGAGGGCAAACTGGGTGGAATGTTCTGTCACCTTCTATGAGATGAACTCCTGGTGACAGTGCCCTGTCCATACTGGTTTTCCAGATGTGGAGGAAGTGACATGAGAGAGACTTCTGAGCTGCTGTGTTTATTTTAAAAACCTGCCCTCTACAATAGAGACGTGGCTAGCTGTGCTGCATAGTCTTCAGAGCCTTAAAGCTCAGGATGTTAGAATCTGTCTGCTCTCATCCCTGATCCCACCACCACCTTGAACCCTGCCCCTCAACACACCTGGAGCCCTGCACCAGCCACCTAGACCCCTGCCTCAACCACCTGGACACCTGCACCAGCCAGTCGGTTCTCTCGCTGGCTCCCAGGCACACACCTGGTCACACACACCTCCCGCTTGTTGGCATCAATACCTTCCTCAGGTTTGCACGCAGCGTGATCTCCAGGAGATGGTACTTTGCGGACGGTGCCCTCAGCCTTGAGCAGCCCCCCTCCAGGCGCTCCTCCGCCCCTTGCCCTGGCTCACACCTGGGTGCCCTCCCTGAGCAGGTACCACGATACCATCGCTTAGTCATTGCTTCCACTGGCTCATCTGTCTCCATGATGACCAGGACCGGTTGTCTTCCCAGCTGTGTCCTTGGTGTGGGGACCTCCTGGCACAGTGGCCAAGTAGATGAGACTCGGAAGACGTGTGGCTCGAAGCCCATGGGGTCCCTGCGATGGGTGTGGTGAAGGGGGAGTGGTGGGCAGTGTGGGCTGTGTGAGGGACACGGCGACAGGAAAGCTTGTTCTCAGCAGCGAGCAGGGGCCCCTGCTTCCTGGGTCTTAGGTTGCTGTGCCTTTCTCCCGAGGTGCCTCTGAGTGGCCTGGAATCACCAAACGGTCCCTTCGTGCCTGAGCGCTGGCCCGTTGGCCCCACTGTGTCGGTGTTAGAGTCGGTTCAGCACCAGGAATCCATGCTCAACAGAACGAACCGCCCCTGCTCACAATCTCTGCTGTGCGAAGCCCCCTTATTGAAATCACTGTGTCATCTCACGAAGGGTCCTCCTCTTCTTCACTCACCCTTTCCCCAGCTCCCTGGCCTTCTCCAGCCCTTCCTGATGACATGCCCAAAGCATGGGAGACAAACCCCACCATCCTTGCTTCTCAACAATCTGGCTACAGATTTGCCTGTCCTCTCGGCAGCCCGTGGGATGGCCAGTGTTCCCCGCGGTCACTGATGGAGCCTCCCCTGTGCTTTGTCATTGCAGAAACTGTCCACCCCGGTGTCCCCACCCTACGAGCTGCCCAAGCTGTACAGGACGGAGGACTATTTCCCCGTGGATGACAGGGAGGCCACGCGCCACACGCCTTAGCGGCCAGCGAGCCCTCGCTCCTCCAACGTGGAGGGTGGGGTCATGCAGCTAGACGGAGCGGCCCCGTTTGCTTTCTTATGTTGCCGGTTTGTGTTCTTAATTTACTCCCTCGCTTCACCCCAGACCACAGATTTGGAGGAGCAGTTGGGGCCTTGGAGATGCGCCGGAGAAGGTGTTTTGAAGGTTTGAGCTGCCAAGGGTTTGAAAGCAGAGGAGGCCATCCTGTTGGGCCTGCTGTGGCTGAGAGCCAGCGGGGGAGCTCCCTTGACCCCTGGTGTGGGGGGGGTCCTGGTCCATCAGTGCTTGTGCTTGCCCACTGACCGCCTTTGCCCAAGGGTCCTGCAGATTATCTCAATAAAGTGTCAGGTCACTTGTGGTCTGGGTGTGGACAATGTGGGATTTCTCTCCTCTCTCTCGACACTGCAGGGTTTTGGGGAGGCTAGGGCTGGATCCACTTCCCAGAAGGCACCTCGCCGGAAAGGAGGCACAGCCTTGGCCTTGTGACTTCCAGCAAGAAGACAGAGGTCACAAGGGCCCCTGGGTGCTCAGAGGGAGATGACACTGCACGTTCTGATAACTCAGACCTGCAGTGGCTATTTCTGGGTTTCCATAATTTTGTCTAAGATCCAAGGAAGCACATTCTCTCTCTCTCTCTCTCTCTCTCTCTCTC